GGAGCCAGTGAAACATGCCTTAAAGACATCAGACCTTGGCCACATCCCTGTCATAGAATTTCTTCACAGTCTTGACATCTACAGTGAATACAAATAAGATGTTGTCTTCTGTGTTTCTTGTGGCACGTTGGTCAGGGAGAACTTGGTAATGACATGGTGGTCAGGCATGTTTCTCTTGTGAGTACTCTTCTGAAGATATGTGTGCTAACTCTAGAGTTTCAGTGTCTGGAGAGATGACATACAGGTGTGTGTTGGTGTATTTTTGTACATACACATTTTGTGGCTCTGGACACTTTTTAACACTGCATTGTCCTTCAGAGTTTTTGCTTTGCTTCAGCTTTGGAAGGAGCAAAAGCTTCCTTCTTTGCTTTTAGGAATATTATATTAGTGGAAAGCTATTATTTGTTTTTTGTTTTTGCTCCACTTCTGGTTTTGGGGTAGTTAATTGGAGATAAGAATCTCAAGCTCTCCTGCAGGGCTGGCACAAGTAGCTAGGATTAGCTAGGATTATAGGCATGAGGTACTAAGGTACCTGCCTCTTTGTTTGTTTTTAATAGTTGCTATCCTAATGAATGTGAAACTGTATCAGGTTTTTTGTTCTTTTTGTTTGTTTGCTTTACCCCAGTCCTGGGGCTTGAACACCAGGACTGAGTGCTGTCCTTGAGCTTCTTTTAGTGTAGGCTAGTGCTCTTCCACTTGAGCCATAGCACATTTTCCTGCTTTTTCTGAGTAGTTTATTGGAGTTAAGAGTCTCACAGAACAGACTTTATTGCCCAGGCTGGCTTTGAACCTTGATCCTCAGATCTTACCCTCCTGAGTAGATAGCATAACAGGCAAGAGCCACCAGTGCCCAGCCTCAATTTGGTTTTTATTTGTGTTTCCTATATTATTATTAATCTTGGTTGGGGGAAATATTACTGTGTTCTGAATCAACTAGTAAACTGATTGCTTTTGCATGTTGCTGAATCTGAAAGGCAGTAAGCAACTTTCATCTGTAGAAAGCCAGATTACCTGCTTATTTGTAGCAGAAGTAAGTTTTTTATTTATTTAGATATATTGGGGTGGTTTGAACTTAAGGCCTCAGAAGTTTTATTTTGTTTTGTTTTCATTTTTATTTTTGTGTGACATAGGGCTTGAACTCAGGGCCTAGATGTTACTCCTGAGCTTCTTGTGCTCAGGCTTCTTTTGCTCTACCACCTGAGCCACATTAGGCTTTCTTAGTAGTTTTTTAGGGATGAGAATCTCATGGACTTAATTGCCTGTCTTTGAACCAGATCATTAGATCTCAGCCTCCATGAGCCACTGGAACCTGGCTAGAAGTTGCATTTAAAAACTTTTTATCTTCAAGAATTTGTACAACGGGGTTGCAGAAGTTGCATTTTAAAATTAAGTATATGATTTGCTTGCTGTACAGTTTGAGCTCTTTGATTATATAGTGGGACTAATTTATATCTCTATTATCTCCTTCCCACCAAGTCTGAGAAAAGAGTTATTTTACTCGTCTTACTAAAAGCTTTTAGGGCTGGGAAGGTGGCTCAGTGGTAGAGCACTTGCCTTGCATGCCTGAGGCCCTGGGTTCCATTCCTCAGCATCACATAAGCAAAAAGAAAAAAGCCGGAAGTGGCGCTGTGGCTCAAGTGGTAGAGCGTAGCCTTGAGCTGAAGAGCTGAGGGACAGCGCCCAGGCCCAGAGTTCAGGCCCCAAGATTGGACCAAAAAAATAAATAAATAAAATCTTTTGATCTTGTCTCTTTAGGTCTCAGGAACTCATTCTTATGACTTCTTTCTCTGTACAGTTTTTCCAGATCTTTTGATATTTCTTTTTTGGCATATGAACATGTTTATGTTTTTTTCCTTACAAAGTAAATACTTGAGAAAATTTTCTTGATGATCAATGGAAACAGCCTACAAAATAATCTTTATTTCTCGATCCTAACCACACTTTATACCAAACTGATGACCCCTGGTTGCATTTTTTCTTTCCAAACCTTGTGCATGCTAGGCACTCTGTCACTGAATTATATCCATCATCAGCCATTCTTTGCATGTTCAGTGGGGCTTTTTAGTTTTTATCTTAACCTGGCTTCTTGTTAGTTTTAGTTTTTGACATTAACATTTCTTCTTTGTCATCCTGTGTTATACTGTTCTTCCTATTCCTTTTTGGAATTTCATGTAAGTCGTCGCCTGTTCCCAGATATTAATATATCCTAGGATTTCTCTTGCCTCTTGTTCTCTGTGCCCTCTACAGATGCTTCATTCAGCTCTCTAGCTTTGATTTAGAGAGAATAGACCCATTCTCTGTAGTACTAGACGCTGTTTGACATTTCTCCTTAGCGCTCTCAAACACATCGTGCCTCTTGCCTCCTTTACCAGACTTAGCAATTTCCATCTCTGTTGATCACACCATCACTGTTCACCCAGTTTTTAAAGCAGAAGTCTCTAGACATGTTGTTTACGGTCCTTCAACAATGTTCATGTAAAAGAAGTTTCCTGAATTCTTTCCACCTTGGCTTTGAAAGTCCGTTATAAACATTTTTTTATTTCTTCTAATAATAAACACCACAAAAAAGAAAAAAATGAAGACCAAGTAACTGCTATTAAAATTTTAATTGTTCTCCAAGTATATATAACAGTGCTTGAACATAAATAAAATCACCTTCTTGCTGAATGCCCTTTTTCTTTTAATTAGTGTTTAACAGTTACTTCCAGAAATGTAAATAATAATTAAAATTTTGAAAAATTGGGTTTTGTTGACTAAAAATTATATTTTAAAAATAGATACTAGCTAGGTATTGGTGGTTCATGTCTGTGATCCTAGCTATCTACTTAGGAGAGTCAAGGTTCACAGTCAGCCTGGGCAGAAAATTCTTTGACATTCTATCTCCAATTCTTTGAGACTAGAAGCATGGCTCATGTTGTAGAATGCCAGTCACAATCAAAAATGCCTAGCAAGTGCCATAGGCCCTCTTTTGAGATCAAGTCTCAGTTCTGGCACCAAAACAACATACATACACACACATGCACGCTCATAGACCAAACAAATGATAGTAAGGAATAAAGGGTACGTACCCAGAAATAGCTTTGTAGTATTATATGAAGAAATTTGAAACTAAAATAACATAGATCTTTAGTGTTGTTTTTAAATATTGTGTACATATGTATACATGCATAAAAAAATAACAATATACTGTGGCTCATGCCTGTAATCCTACCTACTTAGGAGGATGAGATCTGAGGATTGCAGTTCAAAGCCAGCCCAGGCAGGAAAATCTTTTGAGACTCCTATCTCCAATTAACCACCAGAAGTGGAGCTGTGGCTGAGTGGTAGAGTGCTAACCTTAAGCAGAAAAGCTCAGGGGACAGCACCCAAGCCCTGAGTTTAAGCCCCAGGACTGGGAATAAAAAATAGTAACAGGATATAACAAAATTACAGGTCACTAGATGCCAGTAGCACAGACCTGTAATCCTAACTACCTAGAAGGCTAAAGGATCCAGGTTTAGAGCAAGCCTAGGCTGACAAATCCAATTAACCAGGGAAAAAAAAGCTGTACATGGAGATACGGCTCAAGTGCTAAAAGAAAAAAGTCAAGTGCGTACAGAACACCTGAGTTGAAACCCCAGTGCTAGTACTAACACGCATGCACGAATCAACCCAAACAGAACACATCCTGCATGTCTAGGATAGGAAATTTCAGATCGTTTCAAATTTTATTTCTTGTGTTTCTATAAAACTTCAGTAAATTATATTGGAAATGTTTGCTTTAAAAAAAAAAAAAGCCTGGTGCCGGTGGCTCACACCTGTAATCCTAGCTGCTCAGTAGGCTGAGATCTGAGGATCATGGTTCAAAGCCAACCCCAGTCCATGAGACGCTTATCTCCAATAAACCACCAGAAAACCGGAAGTGGCGCTGTGGCTCCAGTGGTACAGTGCTTGCCTTGAGCTGAAATGCTGAGGGATAGCATCCAGTCCCCAGAGTTCAGGTCCCACAACCAACAAAGGAAGCTAGGAATGTCCCTTAGTGGTAGAGTGCTTGCCTAGCATGCATGAAACCCTGGGTTCGGTTCTCAGTACCACATAAACAGAAAAAGAAATGGTGGTGTGGCTCAAGTGGTAGAGTGCTAGCCTTGAGCAGGGACAGTGCCCTTGCCCTGAATTCAAGCCCCAGGATAGGCAGAAAAAAGGGGGAAAGGGGGCAAAACTAATCCTTGGGATTGGTGAAGAGGTGGCTCAGGCAATAGGGTGCTAGCCAGTTAGGGAAAACATTAGGTACTGAGTTCAAGTCCCAGTCTTGGACCTAAGAAAAAGGATACAATTTGTAAGCTGGTTTTGTTGGTATTTATAAAGAAATTTGGGGAATTTATTTATAATCTCTAATCATAAGCCAGCTGGATACTTGAAGCATTGTATCACTGAATTGTTTCTTTATGGATACTCTTCTAATGGGCAGTTGCTCAATAGATGCATGGCTCATAAGTTCTCTTGAGAGACACCTACATAAATAACTTGTCTTTTAACTTTAGATTTTTTGATTCTTCTATCTGTTATTACCCAGAAGGTAGTTATTTGGGATAATCTGCTAATGGCATCTCAGTCTTTGTTACAGTAAACATTATAACTCATTATAACCTCAATAAGCTGTTGGTTAGTAATCAAATCCTTTTGAAGAGGATGGTATTAAATACCACATTCTTCTTTAGTTCGAGGTAAAATTAATAAGTTTATTCAGTATTGTAGAAAACAATCATTTGGTTGAAGTTATTTGATATATCTGAAGGCCAATATTATGGTTTTTTGTTTTTGTTTGGTGGTGCTGGGTATTGTACCTTAGGTTTTGTACATACTGGGCAAATGCTTTACCAACTAAGGTAATACTTCTGGCCTTACTGTTACAGTTTTCATTGAGAAGCAGATGTTTCAAATAGAATTGTAGGTAGAGGTTGAAAGAAGCATAAAAGTCTTTATAACATTAGATTTATATTCATGCATTTTGTCCCAAACAGATCAGTTACTGGCACGATGAACTGGAATAAAGGTGGTCCAGGCACTAAACGGGGATTTGGTTTTGGAGGTTTTGCTATCAGTGCTGGGAAGAAAGAGGAACCCAAACTCCCACAACAGTCCCACAGTGCCTTTGGGGCAACTAGCTCTTCTTCTGGATTTGGAAAGTCCGCTCCACCACAACTTCCTTCTTTCTACAAAATTGGATCTAAGCGGGCCAACTTTGATGAAGAAAATGCGTAAGTGTAATTCCTCATGAGTTAGTAGAAGCGGACCTTTGACTTATTCAATCCATCCATTGGTGTTGAGTCAAAGAAACATGGTTTCCCAAATAATACATTGGTTTTTCTCAGTTGTGTCATTCCTAATAAGTTACTTATTTGTAAGAAATATAATAGTTATGTGCTTCTTGAACCTTTTTTCATTTCCTGAGTCATACTGAAAGTGTATGGTTGCAATATTTGCGGCCATTGATACTTAAATACTACTTTTAGTGGTCTTTGATACAGTCTTTTATTGATACCATATAATTTTTTTAAAATTTTACTTTATTTTTTGCTGGGCCTGGGGCATGAACTCAGGGCTTGAGCACTGTCCTTAGCCTCTTTGTGCTCTAGGATAGCACTCTACCACTTGAGCCACAGCACCACTTCTGGCTTTTTCTGAATGGCTTATTGGAGATAAGAGTCTCACAGACTTTGCTTCCCCAGGCTGACTTCAAACTGTGATACTGAGATCTCAGCTTCCTGAGTACCTAGGATTACAGGTGTGGGCCACTGGCACTAGGCTCATAAAATTTTTTCATAAGCATATATAACTGTCAGAATTGGTAGAAATAGTTTATCTTGACGTCTACATTTTAAAATTTATTATGTTGTAACATCTTAAAAAAGTTGAAAATTTGGATTTTTTTCTGTAGTTCTCAGAAAACAGTAATTTATAATTTTTTTATTTTCTTGTCAAATAAGGTGATGCTAATAAACAGAGTTTAGCTCTAGGTTTTTTTGGTCAGTCGTGGGGCTTGAACTCTGGGCCTGGGCACTGTCCCTCAGCTCAAGGCGAGCGCTCTACCACTTGCGCTACAGCGCCACTTCTGGTTTTCTGGTAGTTTATTGGAGATAGGAGTCTCACAGTCTCTCCTGCCCTGGCTGGCTTTGAACCGCGATCCTCAGATCTCAGCCTCCTGAGTAGCTAGGATTACAGGCGTGAGCCACCAGCGCCCGGCTTAGCTCTAGGTTTTATGTATTTATTTTCTAGAACTTGATAGCCCAAGCTATCTTCAAGTCATGATCCTCCTTTACCAGCCTCTTGAGTCCTGGGATTGCCTACATGTTCAGTTATTTATTTATTTTTGTTTTTTTCCCCCAATTTTTTTTTTAATTTTATTTTACCGTAAAGATACTGTACAGAGGGGTTATAGTTACATGAGTAAGGTAATGAATACATTTCTTGTCTAGCATTGTTAACTCCATGTTCAGTTTTGAACTCTTATTTCTTTTTTTGGGGGGGGTCCGGTCGTGGGGCCTGAACTCTGGGCCTGGGCGTTGTCCCTCAGCTCTTCAGCTCAAGGCTAGCACTCTACCACTTGAGCCACAGTGCCACTTCCGGCTTTTTTTCTTTTTGCTTATGTGGTG